AAAACGAGGTCCATTATATGAGTGTTTAAACACTAGGCACGTTAAAGAACCAGGAAAAGCATTTAAAATTGTGGCATTTTAATAATCTTAAATGACTAATACTCTTCTGGGGGACTCGCTCATATGGATATCCGCTGGCGAGTATAAATAATTTCAAACGCACACACACACGCACGCATACAAACACACACACACACACACACACATACACGAAACAACGAGTTATAAGAGTGGTACAAACTAAACTATATCAATGGACTTAACCATCAACCGTTGCTAACCCTATTTACCTTACACGCACCACGACTTAATAAATATAATACATATTGCTAAAACAAACTTCGCTTGTTCTAAATACCCAGGATACGCATAAATGAGAAGCTCGTTATACGATGACATGTTATGTTCAGATAATAACAGATAAATAATTAAGATATTAAATATTCTGACTGTGTATAAGATATTTTGTCACTAGTAAAATTTGTCTATTTTTCTGATAAAATTGATTTACGGAAACAATCTTATGCAGATTGTTTCAAAGTAGTTGACTTTCTTTCGACTGAATTAATTAAATGTAAATTTTATCGTTTTTACGAATATATGTATATGGCACAGAGTCGACAAGTGTTCGATTTTATTTATCATGTGCTCACGAAATTATTAACATGAACAGCCATATAACTAGCATATGTTGGAAGGATGAATTATTCAAATTTGCGCCTGTTCATCCTTCTCGTGTTTATCCAATTTATTGTATTTTACACTTTTACGTGTTTAAATCAAACAGAACAGATACTTTATTCAAAGATAGAATATACAAAACCATTATAAAGCTATGTGACGCAATATGCATATATCATGAAATAAGTTTCCTCTTTCTAAAATATATATGTAGATTTTACTAAAACGACGTACCATAAGTCAGCAGAATGTCTGATTGTTATGTCTTTCTATTATGAAAGTCCATAAATAAATGAGTGCTTCAGATCAATTTTCATTACAATTCCAACCTTTATTCAACTATCACTCATAAACATAATATATGAAAGAGCAATTCATTCTAATATATTTTTTCCATAAAGAATTGTGATCAATTATAGATCAATATACACGTGCCAATGTGCGCAATGTCATGTTGTTTTTTTGACACAAGTCTGTGTATTATCTGGGCCTATTATATTTCTATTCTGACATATGTGGGATGGAATTATGTTAATTAGATAAATTTGTGGCCGATTAAATAAGTGCATTTTTATTATAACGTTTATAGTCATTGACTTATTAACAATATATTGTAAATCACTAATAAGCTTTTCTTAAGTTAATTATGTTTTCATTGTCGACTAACCAATTTATTTTTAGTAAATGACTACACGTACATTACTTTTTTAAAAAAATCTTTACGTATTTCTGTGTAATTCTGATAATAACTGTATATTACACACTCATCTCTTATAAATCATTAGTAAATCATTCCTAAGATAAGTGGTGCTGTTTTGTAAAGCACCTCCTTTTGTCTCAATATGAAGTGACATTCGTTTCAGTCATCGTTTTACAAGTAATAAGTATTTTTATATTTCAATTTGGCGTTACATGATATGGAAGATAATTGAACTTTTTGAGCATATTACTGATTAAAAATATACATGTATACAATATAAAACATAAATGTATATTCTAGCAGTCTCTAGTATTAATTGTTACTTTCATTACATGAATGAAAAAGTCTTATCGTTATTTTAATTAATGATATTACTAGTGTAAGGAGCAGAATGATCATTCTACGACATATCTTTTATATTTATTGAATATATCACTGTGATCAGACATTTTAATACGTCATGATTATAACAGACACAAAATCATCATAATGATAATGATAAAAAGATAAGAATGAGTTATAGATTATAACCTTCCTACTATTATTGGAAACATTTTTCCTTTAACGATATGTTTTGAGAGCAGTCTTTGTAATAGAAAGATCACCGAAACACGAGGTTATCTGATTTGTACGAGGGGGCGTAGCCCCCGAGTATTAATCAGATTACCGAGTGTTTTGGTGTTCTTTCTCTTTTGTATCATAGTCAAACATAAAAACACGTTCCCTGTTGTCACAATATGAAACCCCGGCAAAAATGAACCAATGAACGAACATCTGAATATGATATTTCTGTCGCTTTCCCTTTCTCTGCCGTCATAATATGTAAACCCCAGCAAAAATGAGCCAATCAATGGGCATGCTCTGGAGGGCGGGTAACTAATACCCGCACTCCAGTTAACGCACTGTGCATGTATATGTATACGATTTAACCCTGACACATTTTCAACAGAAAGGTCTCCAAACTATGATACAAGTAAATTAAAGGAAATTTGTGATTATAAATAACATTCATTGTGTTACATATATCAATACAAACTTGAGTAAATCGAACAAAGAGTGACTTATTCTTTTTTCTAATTTGCAATTCAAGTTATAAATTTTTATGTAGGCTGTATTAGAGATCAGATAAATAATATGAACACTGCCGAAATAAAAACCTTACAATATTTATAAATATATAAAGAATTGTTAAACAAATAAAGATAGAGCATCAATGAACGTTATTTAAAAGACACAAACATTGTAAATAGTAAATAAATAAAAAAAACATCAACACCCCGAACCCTCAACCCCCCCCCCCCCCCCCCCCAAAAAAAAGTTCAAATAACCTTTGTCCGCATGTCCGCATGTATTAGTACCATACCGTCGTAAGATTAAATTAGGGGTCAAATCGAGTTTACAACACGAGAGTATTGATAATTATCCTAGATATTGCCTCTACTGTGGACCTTCAGTGAGTCTAATGAAAAATGTGCTCATCTTATGCTAGAACCAATGAGTGTTTTTCACTGTTTCGCAATATAAGTTATTTGTTTAATGATAACCCCTTTCTGACTAATCTGTATTTGTGATCTTTGTCATGTTTGTGGGCCACATGTTCAGGTTTCCACAGCACAAAGTGAGTCCATTGGTTATTTTTCTCCTTTTTTTAAAGTGACCCCCCCCCTTTATCCCCCCCCCTTCAAAAAGAACAAGAACAAAAAACAAACAAAAAACAACATTAAAACACACGTCTCTAGGTGTTTGAATTAGTCATGCTTCAAATCTTTATATTATTCAAATTTATAGTTTGTATATGATTTTGCAAAATTTAAATTATATTTTGCTGAATTCTGAAAATATGAATATTATAAGTAATATACTTCAGACTGTGACTGATCTGAATATCATAGATTCATAAATTACTATAAATCCACAGACTCAAATCGTTATTTATTTCATCCGTGGAAGAAACATCTTTGTTTATCAATCAAGTAAGATATAACAATTAAGTAGTCGGAATATTAATTATAAGTTCAGCAGTGATTATTTTCTTGACTCAGTGTATTTCGAATTTTGTGGTGATAAATCATATACATAATAAATGTACGAGTGAAAAATGATATCCAATTTATAACTAAGGAACATTTCTAAATGACAAAAAAAAAAAATGAAAGGCGATGATATAAAGGTGGTTTTCATTATTATGAAATGGTGTGCACACAGGTATATTTCAATATAACAATTGAAAGTGTGAAAATCACGTCCGTTTTTACCAGTCTTCTCTTTTACGATGGAAATGTATCAATAATTACTTATCGTTCAAACAAATATGTGTTTTAGGATACAAAAATTTTCTTTACACAGACTATACGCCGTGAGATCCGCAAAGCTTGTTGTAAAAATTTTTTAGTAAAGTATTTCTTCACTTTTATTTTCTAAATTTCGTCAGTAATTCTGGATTTGATGATAAATAATGTATTTTTAAAAAATGTAAATCTTCCGCATCCTATAAATATTGAGGGAAAGTCCAGTATTGGGAATATTTCGTAATACATTAATTAATACGACACACATCGTAGGTTTTTTTCCATAATGACGTCAAAGGTCCGATAAGCGAGCACTTGGACTGCTTCAAGCACAAACAAATATTTCATAAAAAAGAGACTGCTTTAAGCTGTTTAATACGGTAAATTTTGCTTTAACATCATCTGACAAAATCCACAGAAGGGAGAGTGTGTTCGTCGGCCGTCGTTATCGACAATTTCTTTGAACAACATCTCATCTCAAACCACTAAATGGATTGTCTTTAGGAAACAACAAGTTTAAGTCTTTGATATGAAGAACTTACACATTTAACAAGAAGTATATTAAGTTAATGCATATTGAGTTATTTTAGTTCGATTGTGAAGGATATTCATGCGTATTCAGTGAACAAACCAATACTGACTAATGAGTGTAAAGAGTCTTGCTCAAGAAAACAACGTCTAGCCCCTGACGGGTTTGAACCAACACGCTAGCGATTATAATATTACTAGTCCGACGCGTTATCCACTCTGTCTGTTATGCCACATAATAGCTCTACAAAATTATATCTTATGCCCCCTGAGATGAACACTGGTCCCGCCCCTGAGGTCACTTCATGTATATGAACTTACAAAGCAAAATATGTACATGTTGTACGAAGACCATCCCCATAAAAATACAAAGCTAGAATTTAGCATAACGTTGTTGTCCTCTGCATTTGTTTTGATAATTATGCTTCTGGGATCAAAATTAGCCGCCCCTGGGCCATTCAGTTTATAAAGACTTATGTAGAAAAAAAGAGTTAAAATATGATAAACAAGATCAACAAACGTCAAAGTCGTCATTTGCTAGGAACTTATATATTTGGCATGAGGCATTGTCCAGTAAAATAGAGAAAACAACACGGCAAAGTTGAAAATGTTACAGGCTCGGTTTGAGTGAGCATTTCTTTGGACGGTAGTTGTAATTCAAACAAAGTGATCCCTCGGAAGCATTTATCACAACAAAATAACATAAAAACACAGACTCGATTTAATTGAGTCTGTACATGAGGGATAATGAACAAGTGCAACATCCATCACGCCCCTTAGCATCGGCTTGAGCGGTACAGTCGTTTAGGATGTTCCGGATCTTAGTTAGTTCCGGACCACTGTCAGTAAACTAATAAAATTGTGAAACATGTGGTAAATATTTCTTGAAATGGTTGTTTGATTTTGAAAGAATGGTCTTTTCTGGAGAAATTGTCGGTTATTTATTTACCAAAAGCGATTTTCATGACATGATTTTTTTTACTGATGACAAGTGACCTTCACATTTACTCCAGAAAAAGTACGGGAAAAAAATGGCGATTCTGTGAACAGGGCCTCGTGAATCGGTAAATATTGAACCAATACATCATGTTTATATACCAAAATGTTCACAAACATGTCCTCTTTCAATCAAAATAAGCGAAAATACCATCACCTGTTCTTGACAATAGTCACATGCCATGAAATGAAAGCAGTCGTTCGGCTAGTTTCGGATCACGTGACCTTCCACTGGGGGTGTTCTCAAAAGCACTTTGGGCTGTCAAAACAGCTGATTTCAAGTCACAATTGATGTTTAATAATGTTGTAAATTAAAATGTGTTACTGTTTTGATAATTGGGATATTTTTCCTGAATTATAGCTGATTTATTGAGGATTTATTTGTTTGAAATGTGATTTTTTTGTTAGAATGTTATCTGAATGTATTTAAATTACAACTTTATTTAACAGACTGTTATTCATGCAAAATATATTTATGTGTTTCATTTTTTATTTCCTGTTGTATGGTGAAATTAAAAACAATTTCAAATAACATCAGTTGCACTTAAATATGTAATTTATTTTCAGAAATGGGGAAACCAAAACATCAGAGTCCAGCTGTCAAAAAAGCAAACGCAGTTAAAAAGAAGTACAACAGGGGCTCACCTGGGAAATCACTCCGGTGCAAGAGAGCAATTCTGGCCATAGAAAAAAAGAGGTAACTGTCAGGAAAGCATCAGCACTGTATGGCTTATCTTATGGTTATTTACATAGGCGTCTTTCTGGAGAGGTTGAATTAGATAGTCGAAATGGTCCACAGCCGATTTTCACTAAAACTAAAGAAGAGGCGATGGCACATTGGCTGAAAGAAATGGCCAGTCGAGGCATGGGGTTAAAGCCGGGAGATTTTTGGACTTTGTTCAGAAATTAGTCGCCATTGAAAAGAAACAAACACCATTTGCAAATAATAGGCCTGGATATGACTGGTACTATGCATTCATGAGGCGTAATAGTCACATCGTTGAAATGAGAACTGAAATCCCACTGGAAACTTGTAGAGCTTAACTTACAAAAGAGAAGACAGACAAATGGTACAGTTCATTTAGAGTTTTTTGTCATTGAAAGGATTGATTGATAAGCCAACCCGCATATGGAATGCTGATGAAACAGGGTTCAGTATGGGAAGTACATCCGGCAAAGTCATTGGCCCAACAAGAGCAGAACACCCAACTCAAGTGCCTCATTTGTCTGGTGGTCACAGTAAACAGCGTCTTACTGTAATGTTCTGTGGGTCAGCAGATGGAACAATGATGCCCCCCTTCTTTGTTTATCCTGAACCTAAACCCAGAGGATACAATCCGATGACTGGTGCTCTTTATGGATCTGACATAGCGTACACAAAGAAAGGCTGGATGGATGCTCCTACATTTGAGAAATTCCTAGACCACTTCCATAAATATGCTGGTGAGGAACGCCCAGTGCTTTTGTTAATCGACAGTGTCAGCAGTCATATTTCTAGTGCAGCATTTGAGTTAGCTAGTAAAAGGGGTATTGAACTCTACCGAATAGTGGTGAATGCTACCCATCTAATGCAGCCACTGGATGTTGGGGTGTTTGGACCCCTGAAACAGCGTTGGCACCAGGTTGTCAGAACCCACACACGAAATAGCCCCGGAACACCGATCAGCAAAGAGAACTTTGCGACAATTATCAATGCATTTCGGTCCTCTGGAATTTACCCTGTTGACAGCACTGTGATCACTAAGGAGCACGTGAAACCAGGTATCACATTCAGTAGCACAGAGTCAGCATCTCTGGAGATAGAGTCCAATACCGAGTGTTCCTCAAGTAAATCAACAACAGTCGCAAATGTGGAACCACCGCATGGACCATCACTGGCTTTTCAAGCATTAGAAAGTGCACTAACAACACCTATTTTTTTTAAAATAAGAGTTGTATGTGTATGAAATGGTACAATTATAATTAGAATGGTTATTCTTTGTTGATTGGCACAATTCTAAAATTAATTGAGAAAAATCCTAAAAAAAATTTGATAAAACAACAGAATTACATTCATAAATAGCTGTACACAAAATAAGGTTTTTCTAAAATAAAATACATTTATAGTGTAAAATTAAGTTGTTAAGCTGCATTACCATATGTAATTGTACAAATTGTTTGACAGTTATGTTGTTACTTATTGTTTATACAGTTTATTTTCTGTTCATATTTTTGTTCATTCTTTTCATGTATAGCTTTGTAAACTATGTTTTTCCTTTTTATAATATCTTTCTCAGATTGTTTATTATGTTATACAGGTTTTTTTATTTTTTTCTCTATGTCTGCACATGTTTGTTTGCTACTGAACCTTTCAGTGTGCTTTATGTCATCTAACTGGGTTTATAAATCTATTTTAATCAGCTGTAGTTATAAAACAAACTGGATAAATAACGAAAAATGTATTTTAGTTCTTAATTTCAATGTCTAATCTTAATTTTTTTTCTTACAATTGTCGTGGTTTGAATGATAGCATAAAGAAGCGTGATGTTTTCAATTTATTCAATACAAAAAAAGCTGATATACTTTGTGTTGTGTACAAGAAACGCATTTTGTAAAAGATGTTGAAAAAAGTCTACTCTGAATGGAATGGTTTATGTTTTTTTAGCCATGGAAAATCTAATGCTAAAGGTGTTGCAGTTTTATTCAGAAAAAATTTAAATATCAAATTCAAGTCAATTAACGCTGACAATTTTGGAAGTTTCATTATTTTACAAATGCTTTTTGAAACTAGATACTTAACGTTATATCCTCCAAATACTGATAGTCCAAGCTTTTCTAAAAAGTATTTTTGATACTGTAGACTCACTTGATGACAATAATTCACTTATAATTTGTGGAGATTATAACCTAGTTCAAGACCCAGATCTAGATTATCATAATTATAAATCCAAAACTAATAATATAAAAGCCAGAAATTTTTTATTGGATATTATTAAAGATAAAGATCTTATTGACCCTTTTAGAGAATTACATGGCGAAATTAAAAAATTTACATGGAGGCGTACAAATCCTATACAACAGGGGAGATTAGATTTTTTTCTTTTATCAAATGATTTGTATCAGTATGTAAGAAAATGTGATATTGATGTGAGTTATAAATCAGATCATTCAATAATATTTTTAGATATTTGTTTTTCTCATATTTGTCATGGTAAAGGTTTGTGGAAATTTAACAATGCTTTATTACATGATATTGAATATTTAAAAATTATAAATGAAAAAATTGATGAAATAAAACTTCAATATTGTATACCAGTTTATAATATAGACTATATAATAGATACAAAAAATAAAGACATTAACTTTACAATCAATGATGAACTATTTTTAGAAACACTTTTGATGGAAATAAGAGGTAAAACTATTTCATATAGCTCCTATAAGGTTAAAGAGAAAAATAATTATGAAAAACAAATAATGGAGGAAATATCACTCATAGAACAAAATTTGACAATTGATAATAAAGACAGACTTTTACATTTACAAAATGAATTAAATCAGATAAGACATAATAAAATAAAAGGTTCTATGATTAGGTCAAGGTCACAATGGATTGAATCTGGGGAAAAACCTTCTAATTTTTTTTTGAATTTAGAAAAAAAATACTGTGCTGAAAAAAATATTCCTTTTTTAGAAATGGATAACGGAACATTTATTTATGATCAAAAAGATATACTCACACATACTTGTTGTTTTTATGAAAATCTATATAAAAAAGTGAACTTGACTGATGAATCTGTTATTGATAGAGAATTAGGAAATTGTGATATTACTACTCTGACTCATGATGAAATGTTAAAACTAGAAGGTGTTCTTACATATGATGAAGTTTCTTTTACATTGAAAAATATGAAGAATGATAAAAGCCCAGGTTGCGATGGATTTACGGCTAACTTCTTTAAATCCTTTTGGAATAGAATTGGTCATTTTGTTGTTAGAGCTATAAATTTTGCTTATAGAAATAATACTTTTGGTAGAAATCAAAAACTTGGTATAATAACATGTATTCCAAAAGAAAACAAGCAGAAACATTTTTTGAAAAATTGGAGACCAATAACTTTATTAAATGTAGTCTACAAATTAGCATCAGGTAGTATAGCAAACAGATTAAAAGGTGTTCTAGATATTTTAGTTTCAAAGGATCAGACAGGATTTATAAAGAATAGATATATAGGAGAAAATACTAGATTATTATATGACATAATGAAATTTACAGAAGATAATAATATACCAGGTTTAGCAATGATGATAGATTTTGAAAAAGCATTTGATACTTTATCTTTTACATTTATTGAGAAATGTCTTTCATCTTTTCATTTTGGTCCTATGCTTAAAAAATGGATATCTTTGTTTCTATATAATACTGAAACTTGTGTTATTTTAAATGGGTTTTTATCTAATTTTTTTTAAGTTGAACGAGGCTGTAGACAAGGCGATCCAATTTCCCCATATATCTTCATTTTATGTGCAGAAATATTAGCTATAAAAATTAGGCAAAGTAAAGATATTAAAGATATTACAATAGACGGTAAGGAATTGTATTCAAATCACAATTTGCAGATGATACATCACTTTTATTAGATGGTTCAGAAAAAATCACTAAATGCTTCTTTAAACTTGTTAAATACATTTTCAGAGATTTCCGGATTAAAAATAAATTTTGACAAAACCAAAGTTATCTGGATAGGCTCTTTAAAATATAGTACTAGTTCAATTAAGACAAGATGGAAACTTACATGGGGTGATACACAGTTTAAATTGTTAGGTTTAGTATTCGATGTTGATTTAGAAAAAATGATTTACTTAAACTTTAACGAAAAACTACAGAAAGTAAAAAATAGTATTAGCCACTGGAAAAAGAGAATGTTAACTCCAATTGGAAAAATTACTGTTGTTAAATCAATATTGCTTCCATTATTTACCCATTGTTTTACAAGTTTACCAACACCTAGTACTGTTTATTTGAAGACACTGAATGACTTATTTTATGATTTTATATGGGAGGGCAAGGAAAAAATTAAACAATCAGTAATTACTAAAACATACAAAGAAGGTGGTTTAAATATGACTGACATTAATAGTTATGTTCATAGTTTAAAGATAAAATGGTTTAGAAGGTGTGTTAGTAATAGCAGCAGTAAATGTTATAAGCTAGTGAATACATTGTTTGATATTGGTAAAGTTTTTAACACAGGTAAAATGTTTTGTAAATTAATTATCAGTAAGATAAAAAATGCTTTCTGGATTGATGTTTTAAAGGCTTATATGATGTTTATTGAAAAACTTTCAATAGATAATATAGAGCAAGTATTACATATGCCACTTTTTTACAATCATAATTTTTTATCTGGGAACAGATATATTTTCATTCAGATATTGTATGATAAAGGCATCAGATTTGTGAAAGATATTATTAATGAACAGGGTAATTTTGTAGATTTGAATTATTTAGAACAGGTAACATGTAAACAAGTGAATTTTTTACAATATCATAGTTTAAAACAGGCAATAAAATTTTATATGCAAAAGCTAAATATGTTGATTTGTAATAACTTGTTTAATGTTCAATACCCTATTATAAGTTGTTATATAAAACCTATTTTGTTCATGAATAGTAATAAGAAATATGTATATGAAACTTTAGTGAAGAATTCAGATTTACCAACAAGTCAAGAAAAGTGGAACAGATGCTTTATAGGTAATCACATTAATTGGCATTTAATTTATAGTTATGTTTTCCATTGTACAAAAGATTCATACATTCAATGGTTCCAAACAAGAATTATTCATAGAATTATTGCTACAAATTCACTTCTGTTTAAAATGAAAATTGTGAACAATAAAATGTGTACTTTTTGTAATTGTTATGAAGAAACACTTTTGCATTTGTTTTGGGAATGTCACAAGATTCAAGGCCTTTTTCAATATCTGAAAGATAACATACATAATTTTGAAGAATGTTTCAACTGTAAATCAGTTATTTTAGGTTCAGAATCTAAAGATTTTAAATATGACATTTTGTTTTTAGAACTAAAAAGATATATTTATTTGTCAAAGAGAAAAAAGGTGGTACCCACATGTAAAGGTTTAAAAAATAGTCTTAAATTAGCATGGAATATTTATAAAGATACAAACTTAACAGAAGATGAAAATAATAGATGGCAATTAGTAAGATCTTTAATTGAATAAACTACACTGACATACTGAATTAGATAAATAAATTTAACCTGATAATACCATTCTTAATTAATGTTCTTACATTGTACATATGGTTTTATTATAATGTACTTACTCGAAGGGTATAAAGCTATGTGTGTTGTAATATCGTTATTAAAATGTATAAAATTATACCGATTTCCCCCCGTACATACACATCTGTAGTATATTGACAAAAATTCATGGTAACTTATACCTCTTTATATATATTTTTTTATTTTTTTTTTTCAATAACAGGCAGCAAAAATATAGCTTTATACTCAAATTTAGTAATAATTTTAATATTCTGATGTAATGAGGTACTATGATATTTACAAATATGTACGATTATATGTAAAAATGTAAAAGAATTTGAAATAAATGGGGTTACCCAGTTGGGGCCTGAAAAAACAAAAAACAAAACAAACAAAAAAACACCTACAAAGGCAAAATACGCTAAACGTCTGGAAGAGGGATATGATATTCAAGGTCAATCTCCATGCTTCGATGTATATAAGAAGCTGTTGTCTGAATCGAGATGTGAAACTGTAACCAAAGAGCCTATAACTTCAGAAAATGCTACAGACTCTCTGACAGAAGAAACTTCTAAGGACACAGCTGTGGTAACAAAGTCTCAGCCTGCTGAGGTCATATTGGAAAGTGATCATGACAATATATTTGTACAGAATGAACAAAATGTTAAAAAAAGAGCCTGTCCCTGGACTTGATTTGCTTGCATCAGCTGCATCTTTACAAAGCCAAGACTCAGTTCAGACAGAAATCAGATCACCAGTGCTATCACCAATATTGAAAGAGTCGCTTACATTCCCATCAGCAGAGCAGAAAACAAAACCAAAACGAACGTCACAACTTGAAAACTTACCGGACAACCTCACATCATCAGAATCTCTACGTAGCATGTCTCTGAAAAGCTTAAGTAAAATTAGAGCATTTAAGGAAAGAGAGCTGAAGGCAAAAAGAAAGTATATGTCTCAGTTGCTGAAGCAGAACAGTAACACAAAAGCAAAAAGTAAGAGAAATACTAGCACATCTGAAGGCAGCAGTTCTAGTAATTTGAGGTCAGCTGGGAAAAGAACAACTAGAAAGAATGTTAAACAATCAAAAGCAAAAGAGTCTTCAAGTCAAGAAGAGGATAATGTGACATGTATGCGTTTTCATATACGTTTTCTTGAGGAGCGCGAACTGGGGGTGGAACATTTATGGGTACAATGTGACCTCTGTGATCAGTGGTTGCACACAGAATGTAGTGAAGACCCTGTAGTTAGGGACGATGACTTCTACTGCTATAAATGTGAGTTCTAATCACATATTTAGCATTGCACAAAACTACACCTTACTGTTATATAAACGTTCATGTATTATGTTAACCCATCCCCATATAATATGTTTTAATAACCAACATCAAAGGCCACACTGCACTGTTTGCACTATATTATTGAGCCATGGTTATATTATTATGTATGACTGCTGAAACACTGTTGAAAAAGGCATACAAATGAAACCAACCTTATTATTTTAGGTAGAAAAACAGCTTTCCTAGCAATTTCATTGTTCTGTATACTGTATTGTCTATTTTCAGGCAAAAACCAATGAACCAGTTCAAGGCCCTTCAGAAGCAAGTGATCCTGCTTTTTTAAAAACTATTGTGTTGGAAAATAGTGTTGTTAAGGGATACCACGCATACCAAATCAAACCACCAATTACAGATCCACCAACTAAACTTAGGGTGGACAGAGAGTACACTAACATTGTTGATCGAGATGCCTGTCTAGTATGGTTGCCAGAACTTAAGGAGTTCGATGAAAAACTGCATGACGTTATTACAGACCATCAGAGGCACTTAAAATTATCAGATATTGCTGGTTTGCCTGTTGGACATGCACCCAGAGTGTTAGCAGGGTTTTTCAGGACTGTGCTAGACGAAGATGGCAGTGTGTATGCTGTTGCTACTGGTGAACCCTGTCAGAGCTTTCCTCCCTGGCCAGCACCTGGGGACAAAGGTGGTGGAGCAGTTATCCCTTGCTCCTATTATATTACAAGTACACCAAGCAAATTCGAATATAACCGTTCCTTGTTGAGCTCTACTTTGGAAAAAATGGCAGAAGGTTCAGTTATGAAAGTGTCATGTATGTAGTTATTTGTACATGTAGATATATCAGTTTTGAGCACACTCTGTGACATTGATCTGAACATAATAATTATATAATGTGTACTTTTCTAGTCCTTTTGTATGTTGTCTATTTGATTATTCTTTGATTAACTGTGATTGCCCTGTTCAACCAATTATTTAAGATCATGATCTCAATCAGTGTTTACATGCTTTAAAATCTAGTCATTTTGTATGTTGTCTATTTGATTATTCTTTGATTTACTGTGATAACCATGTTAAACCAATTATTTAAGATTATGATCTCAATCAGTGTTTACATGCTTTATAATCTAGTCATTTTGTATGTTGTCTATTTGATTATTCTTTGATTAACTGTGATTACCCTGTTAAACCAATTATTTAAGATTATGATCTCAATCAGTGTTTACATGCTTTATAATCTTGTTAGCTACTGTGTCAATTGTTACCATCTTGTTTAATAAATAATTCTGAATAATAATAGTTTAATCATTATTCTCTTAAATTGACCCATGTGTAAAATGGCCTTTTTGTCTGTTCTTCTGATAATTAATGCCAATGGCTCTTACAAACAAAGAATATTTCTGAAACACATCACAATTACTGATTAGTAACCCATTGGGAAGGTTTTTGAAAATGTTTTGAGAAGATCCCCAATATGGTCCGAAACTGCCTAAACTGAACCGGAAATAACCGAAAAGGTCATGCTGCTCGAAGGTACAATCAAGAATGAAAGCTAACAGCTTTTTGCAAAAACTTATGTTGGTTAAAGAGAGGAAGAATTTATCTTTCTCTTGAAACAAATAAAATTCCAACAATGCTACTTTCAGATAAGTGACAAATATAATTGTTGTTAGCGATCCAGAACACCCTAAACGACTGTACTCAATTCTCAAAATTAAATAGTCTGTTATCAATGATCCCGAAGGACCAGACAAATATAACAACACTGAAGTGAAGTACCGCGCAAACTTTTGACAACTGCCACACGGCACTTGACAAGTCAACTTCCACGCCCTATAGCACCGGCCTTAATAGACTTCAACATTTAAACATGGTAATGGTGAATTTTTGATGTTCAGATTTTGAAACATGCGCGTGTGTGTTCATAATTATGTCGTTTGATCAGGACAAATAAGTGCAATTCCATGAAAAGCGGCATGTAAAAATGCGTGTGACCCAATGGCGAAAACAATGGGCGGAACTGAATTAAATGGAATTTTGAAGGAGGATGTAAGGTAATGCATACGAAGGCTGCATAACATAGATAAGCTGCCAAAAGGTAAAGTTAGAAAGCAGGCAACTTATACTAAGGGTAATTCAACATCAATTAAGTGGTATATTGGAAATTAAAGAAACTTAAGACTTTAAAGTACCAAACACTTGCATGTCGTGCTGAACGATCGTCAAGGATCGAATATATAATATCTTTAATTAAATATACGGGGAGATTCTAGTTCTGCAAATAATGCATCTAGGGTCAGAAGTGTCCCCGATAGGGGTCACAAAATAAACAAATTTGTACCATAAATGAATACGTTTTATTTTGCCATCTAAAGCAACTGCATTTAGCGAAACGCATCAATAATAGTGTCGAAGACAAAATACTTTTTGAACGTTTTTATGTGTATATAGGGTATAAATCGTAATGCACAAATATGTTGTTACTTTGAAATAAAAAAAGATAAATGAAAAGAAATATTGATAACTTTGCCAACAGAATCAAATAAAAGCTGTTGTTTTTAAAGTGACAATTTTATTATAGTAAAGCAAATATTCTTGAGAACATTATCGTGGAAAGAAAAGTGGTAGTATAGGGATAGGCTGTATGGTATGAACAAGGGTCAAGAGAGGGTCAAACTGGCTTTATTGATGATAGTAAAACGAGATATTGCCTCAATTAACGCAGTTTTAGTAATGCAGAAAAAATTAAGATGGAATCATTCTGAAACTAGAAGGGATCATTTATTAGTGTGGCTGCCAGATATTTTTGAAATATACTTAAAATATGCTTAGAAACGTTATTGAATAAACAAACAGAAAAATAGCAAGTACTATGGGTTACTAAAAGATCTTGTCAACCATAATGTGTATCAATATCGAACAACAGTTTCTCATAGCGTTTTTCGTTTTAAAATGTGTATGGATAATGTCAAGGCTGTTTTATGTTAAATAAAATATAACGTAAATTACATATATAAATAATGCGTTCAAGAATAAAAAAGGAAATTCCAGATGTCCTTTTTCCGGGGGTCGACCTACAGCCACTTTTTCAGCCACAAATTTACATGCAGAGAGAGAGAAATGGAGTGTTGGCTGACATAGAGGAACAATTCCCCTATCTTTTAAACCTCAGACGAAACGCATTGTATCTGTCCGTTTTTCAGATAATAGTCCTCTATCTTTTTATATTGGTTTATTTTCTAAAGATAATGATCGGACTTATTTGATGAATACATGTATACATAGAAGTATATATTTCTTATACTTTTAAATGGGTAAGTAATGCTGACATTTTGCAGTTTATTCTCCGGAATCAGTATAAGTGCCTTCAAATTGTCTAATACTGTTAAATAAAATGAATATACATGAAATGTTTTTCTCCATATTCCTCATGCGTAAGTATTGTCTGTGCTTTTAATTGTCATTAAATATGTAGTAGAAAATACTTTCATGATATATTGTTTGTTTGTTTTATTTTACGCCCTTTTCCAACAGTATTTCAGTCATATAGGCGGGTAGTTTCCTAACCATCGTTCCTGGAGAGTTACACCAGTACTAGACTACCTTCCTCCGCGCTAAACTACCAAAGCATCTCCCGGGGATCGAACCCACGCCAGAGAGGTACCTGGATTAGAAGTCATCGACTCTAACCCCTCGACCACGGAGGCGGTTTCATGATATATGGTTTACACCTGTTTCAATGAAGAAGATATGATCAATGACAAAATGGAGTGTAGTAAAATAACGCAAACATTTGGTTTTATGGGACAATTCGTTTCTTTAATTAGAATTTTCCATCATACATCATACTGTCATAATGAAAATATATAGTAAATAAACAACAGAAATAAGAAAAAAAACAGTTAAAAGCTACCTAAAACTGATATTATTATTTTTTCATTTTTAATCTAGTAGTATCATATTATTGTCAATTAACTTCTTATTTATACAAAATGCTTATTCTTTTAACTACAATGTAATCATTATTTACATTTTAATCATACTTATAATTATACTAATTATAATAATAATAATAATAAGAAGAAGAAGAAGAAGAAGAAGAAGAAGAAGAAGACGAAGAATGAAACTTTACAGTTCATATAAATATTAAATACTGACATCAAATCATTTTTTTTTTCATTAAAAAAACTTTATGTTTATTTGCCCGGATGTTATTAAAATGAGAAAAAATAATTTAATGTTAGTTATCTTTTAGTATAAATTATACTAAAAGATAACTGACATTCATTTTTTTCTCATTTTAATACTATGCTTAGAAATCTTAACGAAAATATCATAAAACATTTTGCGATTTAACAATATAACTGTTATATTTACCGGGATGTGTTTCCAAATTACCCATTACTTCAGTATGGGCAAGGAAAATTTGTTTGAAGTGGGAAATAGGTGAAAGATAATCATCTTTGCTTTCTTTAAAAAAATGAACATGTAATTTACTCGTAAAATACATGTATAGCATTTAATTTAGCATTTAATGATAGGAAGATTTTTAAGTTTTACTTATTTTTTTTTTAATTAGTAATAAATAAACAAATAAATAAAGGGATGAATAAATTAGTTAAGTAAATAACTATATGAATGAATAAAAAAAATAATTAAATAAATAATTAAATTAATTTATTTATTTATTTATTTATTTATTTATTTATTTATGTATTAATTAATAGTAAATAATAAAACAATAATTAAACAAAAAGAACGAATTTATTAAATTGATTAATCAAAATGAATAAATAAAAATACATAATAAATGGATGAAATATAAAGTAATTGATATGTGATTAAAAACATCAGATTGTTAATAAGTAATGAAAATGCAGTATATCAATATTATTTATATATGCAATAATGTGATTGATTGGTGTCATGAAAATATATTGTTTTATTGCTGAGTGAATACCTTAATTATATAATAAATAAAAAAAATACAAAGCTCATTCAACCAAAGTTTTATTTCAAAAGATTTTTATAGTAATATGACAAATCTCTTCAACTGTTGATACTTTTGTAATAGTATTCAAAATTATGCAGACATTTAACAGATAACTGTTAGCTATGCATGATTGTTCCATAAGTGCCGATTCAATGTTCTAAAATATCTTTACTCAAAGAAGTTCAAAATCTTGTGAACTATCATTAGAGGCTTATCGTACAATCTCTAGTTGTAAATTAATGTCCATTTCACTGACAGTCGATTTCACATTAATCATTTCTCTAGTAGTCAAGCACTAAAAGTCGTACCGCATAACGGAGAAATAATGTTAAACTTTTAGTTGATTAGTTACACAATTTGTGAGAATGTCTACACTATCTTCAGTGATTAAATAAAAAAAAGAATAAATGCGTTTTAAAAATAATATGATAAAAATATAGCTTTCTAACATTATGATAACTATTATGCAACACAAGTTAAACTTAAATAAATACAAGCAGAGGAGACAATATGAATACATAACTGGAAATGAAACTATTATTTTCATCTAAAATCAAAAGTATCTTGAAAAATATTAGGCCATTTTCAACCAGGCTGCTTTGTTATTACAATTATAATAATATTCAAAAGAATTTTTACTGATGAGTTTTTTTTATCGTTTTTCCCCATATTATTTAATATGTTCAATATACTACAAGTCACAAAAACATTATATAAATACTTTCAACAGAGTTTAATTGTGTTGCTTTATGTTGCTGTGCCACAACGTATTCACAACTAACCGATCAATTTGCAAATTAGTTTACAAACATAAATCTGAACGGAAGATAAGCATGTTGTTTGAAAAATACGGGTGTATCAAAATATACATAATAAAACATATACATTTTGGATGTTCGAATGACATTTCGCACATTATAATGTGTGAAATATGTAAATATGTATCATTTCGTGATTGTATTGTAGAACAGTGGTCGAAATTTATTAAGTTAGATATTTAGTGGTATACTGCTGTTTGTAATAACGTGACACCGTATTTACAGATATATGATATAGAAAAGATAAATACAGAATCCCTAAAGAAAGCCCAACACGGCAAAATTGAAAATGTTGCAGGCTCGGTTTGATTGAGCCAGTTCATGGACGGTACTGGAAAATGCAAGTTACCGTCCACGCCCCCTAGCACCGGCTTAAGCAGAATTCAATATTTAAACGTGAAAAAGTAAAATTTTGAATTTAGAAACATCCGCAGATGTGTTCAGACAGATCTGTGAGACATATCCTTTGTGGTGCAATCGTAGAAAAAGAGAATATACAAGATACAAACTAAATAAATGTTCGGTTATTCAGCGTTAAATGTATAGCGGTAGCTAGCATTAAACATAATTCATCAACAATAATTATCTTCCATGGGTCCCTATATCAATTCTGTATTAAAACACTGGCCTTAATAACATTGTTAAAACGAGTTTTAGTAATATATTAATTATCTTTGGAAAACATACATAAATTTCTCGTTTCTTGATTTCTTATCTTACATTTTGATAAAACTATCTTATAGCCGTAAATAATTGTATGAAGCTCATAAAGAGTTGATAAAACACTTTATATGTAAAGTGAATCTTAATTGAGGCATGCCAGCAGCATGGTAGAGAATGTGACAGTGTTTACATATCAAACTGGCCATGCTCTCAATGTTTCAT